AAAAGTATCCTAATCAAATATTCTTTTATAAAAACAGGACAAAATAAACACCATGAATATACGTTCACAAAAACATCTGAATATTTACTGAAATAAAAAATACAGGGAAACATTTCAGAATATCTAAATTTTTATTGTGAAGTTTTACCAATTGCAGACAACAACATTTGTCGCCATTGGCTTTGCTTAGTTGGGGACATTTTTATTTAATATTCAACAATGTTATTGAACTGCCTGCATTGACACCATTATATGAGATCTGAACTGAGATGGACAATGACATCACGGTTTTGGCAGAGTTAATTCTTTGGGCATGCATGATGTGAAACGAGTGGTCGCAAAACCACCGGGCTTTCCCGTGTTATTGTCAGCAGCTGGTTATCCTTCCATGTTGAAGAGTCCAGCTGCATCATATTTATTCACAAAATTAAATAGATTCACTTGCAACGCGTCATACCGAGGTTTGTGGTTTGAGTGAATAAGTCCTTCCGCAAACAAACAAGCTGCAAGAAAAGGGGGCGTTTTGAGGTTTGAAATTCACCACTCACAACCATAAACACAACAAATGTGGTGACGTAATGGAGGTGCAACCAATAACGTTAGTGTAATTGCTTCAAGCGCGAGAAAAATACTTTAAAATTACAGCATTCCCGAAGCAAAGAGAACAGTTCGAGGTTTGGAAACAGTTTTCTTCTATTCACCTTATTTTGCACGACAACAAGGGTGACGCCATTGCGTTCGTTTTGTCATCTTACTCCCGTCTGAGAAAGACTTCAACTTCCGGCTCATGAGAGGGATGAGATTCTGCGCTAGTTGAAACGAACGGTAAAATATGTCAAGTATTAAATGTTCAGTTAGGTGCTGCCATAACAGTTGGATTAAGAGGAGAGAACAATTGGACCAACGGTGTAACGAACATAATGTGAGGCGGTCAGATTGTTGTTGTGGTGCACTTTACGATTTAGCTACACCCACCACAGACGAGGAGCACCGGAGGCAATGGCGGAAGGCACTACATTTGGAAGCATAGGCTTGAAAGTGTCCAACTGAGGCTAAACACGGAAACGATTCTGATGAGAAAACGCAAAAGTGGCGTTGCGTCATCTTTTTTTTTTATTCTGCGTTTAGACGAGCGTTTAGTGTGAGAAATCCGCGTGCAAATGGAGACGCAAAAGTGTGTGAAATTCAATGTAGTATGCACTTCAGGCGGCTAGGAGTGCATACTACAACAACACCAAGTCCACGCGCCTGCGTACAACTTTCACCGTCAAGCAAACTTTTGCGTTTTTACCGTTTACACGGGTAAGATTTAAGATTTCCACTCTGGATGGTGGTTTCACTTTTTTTGCTTTTTTGAGCCTCAAAAACGCCATCGCCGTGTAAACGAAAGGCACATCCGATAAAATATTTTTACGTTTTCACCCGCGAGCGTTCTCGTGTTAACAGGGCCTAAGGACGGGAATCCGATTGAGGAACACCCCAGAAATGGCTCGGCTACGATGTTCCGATAAAGAAGTCACGCCGGGTGTTGAATATTGTCAGATTCAGGTAAGCTAACTTGCCTAACTGTTATGTGCTTGTTTGCCTAACTTTAGATTCGTGAAGTCCGTTCTATGAATGCTTTTAAGATCAGTAACAAGCCGTAAACAAAATACAATGAATCTTGCATGATTACCATTGCCCACATATACATGTTATTTATTTAACTTTGTGATATTGACCTAAGAGTCTGAAAGAATGAATGAATGAATATTCACGGTAGTACAAGATAGTATGGTAACTTACATTAGTCTTACAATAGCTCACATTACTGCTATTGCACATTACGAGATGTAAACAACACTGGTCCAGATGCACTTCCTGTTTCAGTTTGTAAAAGGCTTCTTAATTTCAAATGTAAAGAAAATATCTTGAATATGTTTGTTTAACTTTTTGATTCAGTTGTTCTGTTGGTTGTACTTTAACCCAACGTTTATACAGTGTTAAAACTGAAACAGGAAGTGCTTCTGGACCAGTGTTTACATCTTGTGAAATGGTCTATACAGAGATTGCTGATGCTAGCAGGCCAGCTAGCTACATCTCTCATTCAGATATTGATATTGACTTATGGCGAGTTAGGAGATTGTGTATTGTTTCGTTTTTAATTAATGTATCTTTCTCACACACTGTTCTGTGTAACTATGGGTGCCATCATCAATGAATTCTCCATGATCTATTTTAAGTAGCTACTAATGTAAAAAATGTTTATGGTTATAATATTTCCATAGATGCATCAATGAGAGTCAGTAATGCAGTGGATAACTATGAGGATGATCACATCCACATGCCCCACAGCTGTGATGCAGAATCACAATGGGAGGATCAATCTGTCTCTGGCCACAACCTGATCTTCTCAGAGAGACTCTCCAGCGTCTTGATGCTCTTTAGCGAAAGTATGAGACTAACGTTACATGAAGAATCTTACAACGCTTCGAAAAGAATAAAAAAGGCACATGACGTGAACATTGCGGTAAGTCCAATTATTGTTCTATAACGTGGCTGTAAGCCATAGTTCGGTTACAATTATTGTTTTGTCTCTTGCGGTTACTGTGATGGTCAGCTTATTCCAACTGAAAATTCAGTTTTGTGGTTCTTGAAGATTGTGAATCAATTTAATTGCTTTTTAATTTCAAACTTTACAGGAATCTGTAAGGCGCCTCCATAATTCAGAGAACAACCCACACAAATACGTTCCACAAACCAGGTAAGACTGTTTCTTATATACTATAGCCTAAATCTACTACTCTATGGATTTGGAATGCCAAAAGTGAATTTCAGTAATGATACCTGCAACTTTCCCCCCCAGAATACATTCATCACATAACCTGGCTGTGACCACTTACCTCTTCGAAGAATTAAGGTCAACTTTTACAGACGTTGACCCTGAATGTGTAAAAGGTAATCTTAAAGATGTTGTAATCATTTTATTGTCCTCTGTTTTACTTATTTTTATTGCCATTACATTTATTTATGATATATTTAGCAGGTTGGAAGATGTATTTTGAGACTTTGCGGAGGAAGTATTCTTTGGCTCAGCCTGAAAAGGCCCAGAAAAGAAAAACTATGACGAGCATTGCAAAGAACCTTCAAAGAAAGCGACTGGTAAGTTAAGAAACTGGTTAGAAGCACTTTTTTTTCTCTTCAGAATGTAACTATCCTCCTCTCTGTGTTTTAGTGGTTAAGTTACTGTCATGTTTTTCAGTTGCTGGAGACCAGGTCCGGGGTTGTACAAACCAACACAGAAAAGGAACTTTGGAAGACCGCAACAATAGAACTGATGTCTGATGAAGATGATGCTATTGTTGATGGAAGGCCAGTGTGAATGGTGAGGTCTCCACCAATCTGCTCTCTGCTAGGTACTATAAAACAGACTAGAGGCTGACCCACACTATGCGTCACACCACCAGCGTATCATGGCAGTTTGAAAAATGTTAACTCGTATAAAAAAAAAAATATATATATATATATATATATATATATATATATATATATATATATATATATAACCGTTCAAAAGTTTGGGGGTCGGTAAGATATGGTTTTTTTTTTGGTTTGGGGGGGATAGCTCAAATTAACTCAATACTTTTATTCAGCAAGGATGCATTAAATGAATCAAACGTGACAGTAAAGACATTTATAATGTTACAAAATATCATATTTCAAATAAATGAAATATAACTTTCTATTGATCAAATAATCCTAAAAAGTCTACAACTGTTTTCAACTTTGGTAATAATAATGAATATTTATTGAGCATCAAATCATCACATTAGAATGATTTCTGAAGGATCATGTGACACTGAAGACTGGAGTAATGATGCTAAAAATTCATCTTTGATCACAAGAATAATGTATTCCAATAGAAACGTTTATTTTAAATTGTCATAATATTTAACAATATTACTCTTACTTTTTTTGTATTTTTTATATGAGACTTCTTACCGATCCCAAACTTATAAACGGCAGTGTACACCTTGAATATTTTATATACACTTTAATTTCTTATTTATTTTTCTCGTATTATTTCATATATTTGTTCCTTTTTTTGTTGTCCATGTTGCTTATCTCCATTTTGTTTACTTGTTTGCATTTTAATGTATGTTTATAATGCACTCTCTGTAATGTTCTATTTATTTATATTGTTTACTTGGAATATCTACGTATATTTTATATATATATATATATATATATATATATATATGAAGAGTTCAGATGCAAAAGCCTCTACCCAGCAAACAATTTTACGTTCTGGGAACGTTCTGGGAATGTTAGTTTTTGGTTCCCAGAACGTTCCCAGAATGTTCCCAAGAACGTTCCCTATTGGTGATCCAGGAAAGTTTTCTTAACATATATAGAACGTTCTCTTAAGGTTAGGGGAACGTTCTGGAAACTTTATCAGAACATTCCCAAAACGTTCCCACAACGTTCTGGGAACATTATGCAAACGTTCCCTTAAAGTTTCCAGAACGTTCTACTAACCTTGGTATGTTACAAGAACGTTCTGGGAACCTACTCGGAACGTTCCCAGAACGTTGCGAGAACGTTCCAAGTAGGTTCCCAGAACGTTCCCCTAACCTTAAGGGAACGTTCTATTTACGTTAAGAAAACTTTCCTGGATCACCAATAGGGAACGTTCCTAGAAGGTTCCCTGAAGGTTCTCCTAACCTCTTCATTCTGATGTCTGGTCATAAATAAGTCAACAAGCCACTTCTTCTACATAGTTTATTATTCAAAAAATATAAGAAACAATTTCAATATCTGAACTGAGATATGAACATTTATTAAACAACAATGCATACATATATTAAACAACAATTTATTCATATATTAAATAACAATTTATTCATATATTAAACAACTATTTATTCATATATCAAGCAAAATGTATTCATATATCAAACAAAATTAACATTTACATACAGTGAACACGTAACTGGTGTATGGTGTATGGTGAACGTAACTGGTGTATGGTGTATGGTGAACATGAAACAGTGACAATGTGTAAATGGTGAACATGACAACGTGTATGGTGAAAGTGGTGTATGGTATGGTGAACATGACAACATGTATGGTGAACATGAAACTCTGTCTTCACCAATCTCTTCACTTCACCATCAGCTGCAAATCAAAAACAAAGGGAAGGGGGGAGGGGGAAGGCATGAGTTAGATAGAAATTATAGACCTAAAAAATTAACTGTAGTGCAGTTAAGGACTGTGTGCCGATGACTGGTAAGCCATAAATATTATTCATTTTTATTATTAATATCTTTTTTTTATTACTGGCCAGGTATTTATTTATTTGCAAGGCAGTTACTACAACAATTACTAAACATTTATATAATGTTTTTAACTTGCCCTAGTTTTACTTAAAAAAAAAAATACAAATGATACTTCTACGAAACAACTAAAGTCACCTGCAAGCCTTAAAGAAAAATTCAAGTGTTTAGCACTTTGAGTCTATTTTCTAGTTTGTTTTGGATAAACTAGAGTGGTGGACAAAGAAATTGACGATGGGTCATGTCTCGACTTTTTGACTCTTTTAGGATCGCCTGTAGTGTCTACGGCATGCACAAACATCCTTAAAACAACCCTAAATGTTAGTTTTCAAAACTGTGTCACTCAGTGGTGTGTGCAATAATGAAGTTTTGCTGATGTCTTGTAGACGGATGTTATGATATTTCACTGCGCAAATAATTTACACCCATTTAGTAATTATACTTTCCAAGTTTCCAACTTTTCAAGTCACTCATCAGTAGATGTTGCTAAAACAAATATCAGTCTATAAACCATGTCAAAAATTACACAAGAAAAAATTGATTTTGCATAATGTACATTGAAAATTTAAACAAAACTGACATGATTGCTTACCATTTTAAATGCCGGTGAGGGGCAAATTTAAGGACCATTGAAATTAGGTCTTCAATCTCACTGGCCTTAAGAGATTTGTAGGACTTCTGCATTGCCCCTTGATGTAGGAAAAATATCATGTAAACATTGTAGCTATTTGAGGTATGGTATTATTTAAAATAATGTACATTGGGACCAAAACAATTTTCCAAAGTGCAAAAAATTGGCTATTAATATAAAAAAATGACTGATAACTTGCCTATGATAATATTGCAGATCTTCGTCTGTTGGAAGGGTAGTTTGCCTTTTTTCCCTTTAAGGCTGTAGGCACCCAAGACTTCATTTGATGCAACCTTGCGCAATATTTTGCGCAAGGTTGCACCTGGGTTTGGTCCCCCAAGGGACCGAAGGTAGTTCTTCTGTTTAAAAGAAAGAAAGAAAGACTATTATTTAGAGGAAAAAAAGAATATGGCATCATGACACCAGATTAAAGGGTTAGTTCACCCAAAAATGAAAATTCTGTCAGTATTTACTCACCCTCATGTTGTTCCAAACCTCTATGCGTTTATTTGTTCTGCTGAACACAAAGGAAGATATTTGGAAGGATGTTTTAATCAAACAGGGGCTCGTTCTTCGTACGTTGCTTAAAACATCCGAGCCCCTGTTTGATTAAAACATTCTTCCAAATATCTTCCTTTGTGTTCAGCAGAACAAATAAACACATAGAGGTTTGGAACAACATGAGGGTGAGTAAATACTGACAGAATTTTTATTTTTGGGTGAACTAACCCTTTTTTTGAATGGAAACTGTTCAAGCTGGATGGATGGATGGATGGGTGGGTGGGTGGTTTATGGATGGATGGGTGGGTGGTGGATGAGTGGATGGCTGAACGGTTTATGGATTGATTGGTGGGTGGGTGTGTAGTTTATGGATGGGTGTGTGTTTTATTGATTGAAGGATGGATGGTTTATGGATGGGTGGTTTATGGATGGATGGATGGGTCAGTGGTGGATGGATGGATGGATGGATGGATGGATGGGTGGGTGGTGGATGGTTTATGGATAGATGGGTGATGGATGGATGGATGGGTGTGTGGTTTATGGATGGATGAATGGATGGGTGGTTTATGGATGTATGGGTGGGTGGGTGCTTTATGGATGGGTGGATGGATGGTTTATGGATGGGTCGGTGGTTTATGGATGGATGGATGGTTTATGGATGGATGGTTTATGGATGAATGGGTGGTTTATAGATGGATGGATGGATGGGTAGGTGGTTTATGGATGGATGGATGATGGATGGATGGATGTGTGGTTTATGGATGGATGGATGGATGGGTGGGTGCTTTATGGATGTTTTTTGAATGGAAACTGTTCAAGCTGGATGGATGGATGGGTGGGTGGTGGATGAGTGGATGGATGGACGGTTTATGAATGGATGGATGGGTGGGTGGTTTATGGATGGATGGGTGGGTGGTGGGTGAGTGAATGGATGGACGGTTCATGAATGGATGGATGGGTGGGTGGTTTATGGATGGATGGTGGGGTGTGTAGTTTATGGATGGATGGATGGGTGTGTGTTTTATGGATTGAAGGATGGATGGGTGTGGTTTATGGATGGATGGATGGGTCAGTGGTAGATGGGTGGGTGGTGGATGGATGGATGGCTGGGTGGGTGGTTTTATGGATGGATGGATGGGTGGGTGGGTGCTTTATGGATGGATGGATGGATGGATGCTTTATGGATGGGTGGATGGATGGATGGATGGATGGATGGGTGGGTGCTTTATGGATAGATTGATGTTTTTCCCCCCATGTACCCCACACTGGTAACAGTAGGTGCATTTGAGTGTCTTGCAAAAGTATTACCATCTTGGCACTTTTTTCTTTGTTTTCCAATTCCCTGTCAAGGATCTTCAGTTCATCCACTGTTTGGCATGGCCCATTTTCCAGGATTTCCCCACCTTCCTCTGTCACCGTAACCGCTACTGCAGCCAGTAACTGTCTCTGCATGGCCAGGATGTCTTGCTGGTTGTCGACAATCTCTTGCAGCTTTTGTAAGACTTTTGTCCGATAGCCTGTGAAGCAATATTGTATAATGCTCCTTGAATATGCAGTTTTACTGTAGTGTTAAAAATCTAAAAACTGACTTACTATTTGTTGCAGAGTCAGAATACTGGGGCTCTTCTATGAGGAACCGTGAAGCCACTGTGGAATAAAAAAAAAAAAAAAAAAAAAAAAAAAAATCACTATAACTAGAATTATTGATTATTATAATAAATGTAATATTCTGAATTTTAAAATATAATATTTTGAATTTTAGAATAATACCTTCAAGAGGCTGTGATATACTTGGCAGTTGGGACTCCTGCAGCGATTCCTCTGCTGCATAAACAGACTAGTCAATTACCAAACCGGTTTCACAGACAAGGCTTACAGTGAGTCTAGTCCTAGACTAAAATTTAAATCTGAGCTATTTCAACTGAAAGAAACTTGCAATGACTGATCTTACAACATGTCAGTGCATTTGTTTTGTCTAAAGATGCACACCAGTAATTCTTTTTCTAACGCATGTTTATATAACAAAAAAAAAAAAAAAAAAACTTAAATGTCCTAATTTAACTAAGACCTAATCCTGGCTTAGGCTAAGCCCTGTCTGTGAAACCAGGCCATAGATTCAGTATTAATGAATGAGTTGCAGGTTACAATTAACCATGAAAGAAAAGTAAAAAAACAAAAACAAAAAAAAAAAAAAAAACACTTACAGTGTTGAGAAAGTGGTGAACTTCCTTCTTTTGCAGCGAGTGAGAGAGACAGAGAGAGAGAGAGAGAGAGAGAGAGAGAGAGAGAGAGAGAGAGAGAGAGAGAGAGAGATTTATTCATCCATTCATTGTGATTGTCTAAAAAAAAGCATACTATACAAACCCTTGTCCAGAGGATGAATATTTGAGAATGATGAATCTGTAAATACAAAATTAAATGGATGATAAATGGAGACATTGGGTAATAGTCATGTGGCCCATACTATAATTGTGGGTACATCTCATGTCTGTGAGATCATTTTGATTTTCATCATTATAAAGCCTCAATGCACACTTTTCTTGTACAAAATTTTATTTAATAAGTATAGACTATAGACCCAAACATAGTCGGTAAAATAGTTGACCAGGAACATTGTTATATGCTTTTTGAAACATACACGAGTTTTTGTGAAAAAAAAAAAAAAAAAAAAAAAATATATATATATATATATATATATATATATTACATTGTCAAATGTACCCCAAATTATAGAATGACTCGTGACTCCTACTTGCGTTAAAAACTTACATTTTGGTGGATGAGGTTTTGACAGATCTGTATTGCCCTTTGGTCCTTTGGTAACTCTGCCATCATCTGAAATGGAAACATGCTTTAAAATGGACTTCACAAATTGTTATTTATAATTATGTAGGCTTTTTTTCAGTTATTTTTTTTTTTCAATGGATATAGACAAATTTCTTTGAAGTAATTTGAATAATTACCATTTGAGGAAGAATCAATTTCCGAAACAAATCTTGTTGGCTTTTTATGTGCCCTTTTTTTCACTGTGGAGCAGTCTTCGGTTTCAACATTTGAGGTCTCCACCACACGACGGCATTTCTGAAGACCTTTAGTGTAAGAATCTTGAAAATACAGTAAATATTAAATATTGAAAAATATTAGATAGTATAATAGTAGATTCATTTAAATAATGCAAAACTTCATTACCTGTTTTTAGCCAAACTTTTTTTAATAGACATCGCCTCCACTTCGCTTTGTCTGGCAGAGAGCAGTTTTTTACCAGTTTCCTCGTGTTTGTAAATGTCCAGTAAGAAAACATCCCCTGACAAAAATGATTTGCCATTCTTGAACTGATTTAGTAATGTAATTATGTAAATGAATGAGAAAACAAAACAATACCTCTTTGGTTTCCTCCAACCATGACATTGGGATTATTTCAACGGCACTATCCTCAGCAAATTCCACAACTGCAAAACGTTTTGTGTCCATCTGTTGAGATAAAAAGATAAAAAAAACATAAAAATTATACATATATTCATACAGAAGGAAATATTTAATAAGATAATTTACACAGTGTATTATATCTGTTCAATAACTTATTGCTTAAAATAACTGATTTTAATGACCTTCACTGTTTGTCCTCCTTGGCTTCTCTGAATGTCCTTAAATGGTGAATTAACAGTAGATATAACTAATGCATTGGCAGTCTCTTGGTGTGTGTGAGTGCGTGTGTGTGTGTGTGTGTGTGTGCGTGTGTGTGTGTGTGTGTGTGTGTGTGTGTGTGTGTGTGTGTGTGTGTGTGTGTGTGTGTGTGTGAGAGAGAGAGAGAGTGAGTGAGTGTGTGTGTGAGAGAGAGAGTGAGTGAGTGTGAGAGAGAGAGAGAGTGAGAGAGAGAGAGAGAGAGAGAGAGAGAGAGAGAGAGAGAGAGAGAGAGAGAGAGAGACTCCTGGGCCATTATTTGTGCTCATGCAGGATTGCTAAGAAAATAGTCTCTTCTCTTTTTTCCACCATTATAGCTTTTCTTGTCAGTTGACGTTTTGGTATGAGCTTCATTACAGCATGACTTGATTGCACTTTGAAGCATCCAAGTATTCTGGAGTCACATGGATCTCCAAAAAGTGGTTGTGTTTTCTCAAAAAGCTTGCACAACATCATCTGGCAACCATCATCCGACTCTCTCTCTTCAATGGCCTCACAGCATTTACCTTCATCAAGTATGAAGGCATTATTTGGCCTTTTGAATTTGGGCTCAGAGGCCTCCACAGACAATGGGGATTTTGACATCTCCTTTAGCCGTTTGACCACTTGAGTAAGTGGCTGCTTTCCGGACCTTACAAGTCGCTTCAGCTTTCCAAGATAATTTTCAAAAGGGAATGCACTGCAAGCATCAAGACTGCCAAAAGCCATTGCCTCCTCTGGTAGATGCACCATTGAATGGACGTTGTAGACCATGAAGTGGTCTCCATATAGTTCTCCTGCTTTTCCAACAAAGTATTTCATCAGCTCTTTGCTGTAGCTGTTGTGTTCCACTGCAAGTGTAGGGCAAATCAGAAGACTTAAGGCAACACTGAACACCATGAAGTGATCATATAGCTGGTCAGCCAGAATTCCTTTAAGCACGATCTTTCCTGTGTAAACAGCAAACTGCCGCAGTTCGGTTGCCTTCCACCTGTCGATGTCTTCCAGATTTCTTGGTTTCCGGGCAAAACAGCTGGGGATGTCCTTTTGAAGTGACAGCAGCCTTTGGGTCACATTGCTTATTTGCCCAGCAGACATTCTCACTTTCCTGTCTCCTCTAACCCACACTGTTATGAGTTTTTTCATCACTCCCAGGCAAGCTTGGTGCATGTAATCAATTGGGAATTGTTCTACCATGTCCAGTGGGAGATTCAGAAAGGGGGACACAGGAGTGTCCTCATTTTCTTGACGCATGGACATTTCAGCGCGAAACGTGTCGTTGTTTCGTAAAGTGAGGTTATCAACCTCTGGGTAGGTCACGCGTCCATCCACCCATGTGCCCTTCTGTGTGCACTTGTCACACCCATAGTACCCAGAGTATTGTTTGATCTTTTTAACCATGGCTCTTGCGGGTGCGTCACACACAACACATCTGATTTTGACTTCTATTCCATCCAAACCATTGTCTACAAGCTCCTGAATGTCCTTTATAGCTTCTTCAATAAAATCCAAATTTGTTGGTTTGGTGGGACCGAGTGTCAATGTGACAGGAAAGACACTAATGGGTGGCAGATGAATGGCACACAGGATGGGCCAAAGAGATGCTCTGCTGCTTTTAAAAATCGGCAGGCCATCTATATTAAATGAAAGCTCCAATGTGCTAACTCCATCTGTAATGTCTCTTGGATAGCGCTGCAGCTGCTCAAGAATGCTCTCCCTTAAATTAAAATGGACACACTCCATTCCTGATTTTTCCACTGATTTAATGAGTCTGGGAGTTTTCAGCAGTGACCTTGCTGTTGATGGGAGCTCTGGGTGGCCATAATTTTTAAGTCCTTTCAGGAGATCATCTAGAGCATTATGCTTGATGAGGTGTTTTGTTGCCCATTCTTGTAAAAATGTTGAGAATGAAGTTAGGGCCACTTTGTTATCATACTCAGATTCTGAATTGCTGTTTTCGTCACTGGACCCATCGGCCACACTGTGAGGTCCTGAACTGCAGTCCTCCCCACTGACCCCAATTTCTACACTTGAGAAGCTGTCTTCATCAGTATTATTTTCTTCATCAGTATAATGTTCTTCATTAATTCTTTCTTGAAGTGTTACTGGATGAAGTGATGACTCCTCTCCAATACACCTTTCATGCAGTGATCTCCGTGCATATTTCCACTGCCTTGTATAGCGTTGCCTCTTGGTTTTTGAATCCATTCTAAATCCAAAATATTGGACTTGTTGAAAATGTGGTACTGGCATATTTTGCAATATTTTACCACATCTAATAGCAAAAAGTCTTCCGTTATTTAAATCCAAAATTGATTTCTTAATAGTTGAAATTTCAATTTCCCAGATCAGAAATACAGTTCTTTATTAAGTTTATTCTAAAACTTTATTTTTGGTATCAGTAATCATGTGGTTGCTAGTGCAAATGTTTATACTTGATATGAAGAATTCAAATGCTACTGGTAGAAATGTTAATTTCTGATATCAAAAATAATAATAATAATATCAAAAATATCATGAATCTGATTGTTACTATTATGAAAGCCATTTTTGTAGTGAAAAGTAAAGTAAATTTTACTGTCTGTGGTACGGTTATGCTGGTTAGACATTGTATAACAGATAATCTGGTGGAGATATCAAGGGCGTTTCCTCGACCATTCATTTACTGAGATGAAAAGAACAATGGCAAAACAGCAAATTGCAAATTTATCTTTTTTTATACTGGTGATGATTGCCTCAAGAATCTTGTGTGTGTGTGTGTGTGTGTGTGTGTGTAGTACGATGTTTATTATATATAAAATTATATATATATATATATATATATATATATATATATATACACACACACACACACACATACACACACATGTATAAATTTATATGAATTTTAATTATATTAACAAAAAATAAAAAAGTTTTCTTAAATATATCAATGCATGTTTATTTAAACAAACATTACGGAGAGCACCTTAACATGAAGATAAAGAAATAAAGAATATTACTTACCCTAATTGTGGCAAGACAAAAAATGTGAAGGAGGTGGGGAGACAGTGGAAGATGATGCAAAAACTATTACATAAAAAAAGATATAGTACTCATAAACATTAAAGTACTTAACATTACAAATGTTGTATGCATGCTGCAAATTATGCTATCATGAATATCAAAGCTACATCTAAACTAAAATTATAAGAATGCGCAGTTATTCAGAAAGACCAAATATGAGTAAAATGTCTGTACAAATTCAAAAGTGTTCAGCAGTGATTATGGATTAAACATGTTATGATGAAACTGGCAAATCAGAGATTTTTTTTTTATTATTTGTATTTTTTTTAAATTTTCCCTTTAATTTATTCATTAAGACATTACTAACATGCTGCATGATTTTGCTTCTGATTGATCTAAACCCAAATTCTGATAGTCAGTCAAAATATATACTCACAAAGCCAAAGACGCTCTCGGGATGTGGCTCTTAAAAGAGCCTTTGGGGTGTATGTAGCTGCTGTTGACAAGCAAATGAGAGAAAAGACCAAATATGAATAAAATATGTCTGTATAAATTCAAATGTGTTTAACTCCATCAGTGATTATTGATTAATTAACATGTTATGATCAAACTGGCAAATCAGATATGTAGAATTCCAGTCTATTTGTTATTTATTTAATCATTTATTCTTTTTTTTTATTATTTGTATTTTTTAAGAATTGCCCCTTTAATGTCTTTATTAAGAAATTACTAACATGCTGCATGATTTTGCTTCTAAATTGATCTAAACCCAAATTCTGATAGTCAGTCAAAATATATACTCACAAAGCCAAAGACGCTCTCGGGATGTGGCTCTTAAAAGAGCCTTTGGGGTGTATGTAGATGCTGTTGACAAGCAAATGAGAGAAAAGACCAAATATGAGTAAAATATGTCTGTACAAATTCAAATGAGTTCAGCTCCGTCAGTGATTATTGATTAATTAACATGTTATGATCAAACTGGCAAATCAGATATGTAGAATTCCAGTATATTTGTTATTTATTTAATCATTTATTCTTTTTTTTTTTTTTGCTTTTTTTTTTAAAGAATTGCCCCTTTAATGTCTTTATTAAGACATTACTAACATGCTGCATGATTTTGCTTCTGATTGATCTAAACCCAAATTCTGATAGTCAGTCAAAATATATACTCACAAAGCCAAAGACGCTCTCGGGATGTGGCTCTTAAAAGAGCCTTTGGGGTGTATGTAGATGCTGTTGACAAGCAAATGAGAGAAAAGACCAAATATGAATAAAATATGTCTGTATAAATTCAAATGTGTTTAACTCCATCAGTGATTATTGATTAATTAACATGTTATGATCAAACTGGCAAATCAGATATGTAGAATTGGCTTTATGCACAGCTGCACTTCCTGAACTTCAGTCAGCTCTTTTGTTTCCTGTCTGCCATTATTGAACAAACTTGAACAAACCTGATTAATCCAGGTGTGTCTGTACAATAATGGCAGACAGGAAACAAAGGAGCTGGCTGAAGTTCAGGAAGTAGTGCAGCTGTGCATAAAGCCAATTCCATTCTATTTATTTATCTGTAAAGAATTATCCTTTTAATGTCTTCATTAAGTTTTAACTTGCCACATTAAGTTGCTTTAATTGATCTATTAATCAATTAGCATGTTATGATGAATCTGGCAAATCAGAGATGTAGGTTGACTTCTAATACTTACAACAATAAGATGGCAATCAACACTGAGAAAAAAAGAGAGAGAAGAGAATAATTATTTTCATGGTATACATTTTCAAAGTTTATAAAGGCTCTGATGAATAGATAATGCATTTTCATTCTTGAGAATAATAGAGTGTGAGAGGGAGCTCACGCGCTCGCAGTCAAATCAGTGACAACACAATAATTCCATACAAATTAAAGATATTATGAAGCATAATTTTATCTTATCATATCTTATTAATTTATGAAGCGTAGAATTTATCTCTTTTTAAGGAATGTTATCATGACAGATAACTTAGTCTTAAACGAAAGAGTGTCTCTCAAACAGAGCGCATTGGCTCCATAAGCAATGACGTCACACCGATGTAACGACATTTAACGGTGTTGATCGGCACAGATGAGCGGACTTTATATCGATGCATATCAGATGATGTCACCAACGTCTCCTCACTGACGTCACTCACTTCTAAAACTTGTCTGCCGCCATCTTGAGTACCTGATTTGGATATTGCAGTAAATTATAGTAAGTTGAAGGCATAATAAAAGCAGAAATGAAAAAGAAGGAGGAGTGGTATGGAAACAAAGGCGAGAATGTTCTACAATGTCCAGTAGAAGGTAGGAGGAATGAGAGAAAATAAAATAGATAAAAAGGAAGAGGACATTATTTCGAGAATGATATTTAGGCATACTGGATTAAATGAATTAAAAAAAATAAATTAAACTTAAAATAATAGGAAAACATGAAACTGGGTTGTGTGAGCGATGTAAGAGAAATGAAACATTTGAACATGTAGGCCTAATTATTCATTTTTGTAGGTATAAGCAGGAAAGAATGATTCTGAAAGTTAGGCTAAGTAAAGACAAAAATCGAGTTGAAATGAAGGAAATTATATTAATGATTTTTAATTAAAAAATATTTATTTAAAAAAAGGGATAATTAGAAGGTAAAAGTTTATTTTGTTATTAAAATTGTATTGCTAATGGTGTGAATGATAATGTATCAATATTAATAATTTTATTAGATTTTATGCATTTATTTAGTTAATTAGTGGTAAGTAAAGTAGGCTATTTTGATCCACACTCCATTTCAGAAGGTGGCGGTAATGCGCATTAAAAGTTGTTTGCTAAGAGCCATTAAAAAAATACAAAGAAGAGTTAGAACCGTTACCTGATTCACGTCAGTCGCAAAGGAACAAGCTAGTTAACGTTATGCCTACAAAATGCTGTGTGGTGGGGTGCAACAACAAAAGAGACCCGAAAATATCCTTTTACAGGCTACCTCAGGACGAAAAAAGGTGCCATCAGTGGCTTGCAGCCATCAAGAGGGCAGACTGGACACCAACTGCAAACACTCGTCTATGGTGAGTGGATGCAAATATAGCCTAATATTGTAAACGAGCTAACGCTAACTTGCTCGCTGTCGCGAAGAGATGGTTTAGCTACACCTTGTTGACCTTGCCTTGAGATAGCATTGAGTTGTTAGGCTAGCTGCTGTTTAAAAGTTGGTTTAAAAGAACACTTAACGTTACCTTTCGGTGGGCGTGATCTAGCAAGTCTGACGGGAGAGATGATCGGGAGACAGGTGTAAGTTAACGTTAGCGTAAGTGGGTCAAGTGTTAATTACAAACACCTGTTTGTTTTTTTAGTGATATGCGTATGGAAATACCGCATATTAATTGACAGGGAAACTACATTCAAGGATAGAGAGACACTGATTTTGAGCGAAGGGAGCCCGAGGACGTGATTGCTGTCAGAATTTGAACTTTGTTGTGTGCGACTTTTGTTGTTTCTTTTCGCGAAGAAACGTTGTTTGTGTGAGATGTAGTACATTTACTGTAAAAGTCAAAATTTTATAATAATTTAATGAGTTTCATGAGAGAAAACTGCTGTTATTTTTGTGGAGAAAAACGAACTCTTCCCTCAGACCGTTTGCTATTATAATTAACGTTATTATAATTAAATGTCTTTACTTTCTTTCTTCATAGTTTTAAATGTCATTTACTTTTGTTGTCAGACCATACTTTAAAGAAGTAATATAACTAAATTGGTTAACTAAAAAGTACTTTACCTCAGGAAAACGCACTGCTGGGATGTCACTCAAAGGGTAGACAGGTTGTGCGCGCGGTGGGCACAGACACTAGCTTATAGACCAGCGCTGCCCGGTTTCGCGGGCTTGGCACGAGATTAATAATTTATTATTATTATTTTTTTCTTTATTTTTTCAAAAATGTATGTACTTTTATAATGACAGGCCGCGTTACCTTGGCATTAAACGTCTAAAAAAATGGGATTTGTTAAATACTGCAGTATTTTTGTTTTACTATACTTTATTCAAAGCAATGGTGTCACCAAAATATAAGTTGTTTTCTTTTCTTCTTTTTCCTTTAGGTTTGAGAGTCCCACTTGTTAAATATAATTTAGCAACCAGGTGCACGTGAGCGATGGTTGAGAGGTAAGCGTTGATTTCAAGTTCTTGTGTGGTCTTCTTGAGCTAGCTTCTTGAGGCTGTATTTAGACCAACAACATTGAGAGACAGAATAAAAACACAAAAATATATTTGTTAATTATTTATTTAACCCTTGTGCCTCATTTAAAAAAGTTATAAAGTTAATGAACATTTATTTATGAACATTATTTATATATAAAATATATATTTCATAAAACAAGTATAACTCTAAAATGGCTAGATAATCTAAGAAAGCCGTAAATATAAGTTGTGTTCCAAATGTGAGGTTGATATCTCAAAAAATACCGTCTTTCAGTAAGATTTTGTTTGGGCGCAGTAACAGGCTTTCCCTATTGGTTACCAGCAAAGCTCCACTGGTGCACACAGTGATTGGATTTTAGATTTGCAGTTGAGTTTTTCCTCTCTCAATATTACAGGCACACAAACGCACACACTTTTTTTATTACAAACGAACTTGGCGTATAAATGTCGTACAAATATTGTTGCAGGGCTGCCAATTCTCACGCATCCAGCGTTCGAACCGGAAAACGGGTCTAAGCATTTCCGGTTTTTCACTTCCATACATATATGTTGCTGTTTCAAAGAACGTATATTTAATAATAATAATAATAATAGGCCTGGGTATCGTAACAAAATGTTCAATACCGATACCTTAACTTCGATACCGGTTCCTGAATGATAGTTTTTTCGATACCAATTTTATGTAATTAGTTTTAACAATATAATATTACCTACATTTTTTTTTTTTTCCAGTTTGTTGACTTTCACACTCATATTTTGAGTATGTAAAAAAGCACCAATGCTAAAGTTTTCTACAGTATGTATGTATCCTAATCATTTAACAACATGTATTCTTTACTTCAATGAGCTCATTGTTTCTGCCTTATCTTAATGCATTGTTTAACAATGAAACTGAATGAAAATTAATTGAAATGCATTGCATTGTCACCTCTGATAACAGATCACACTAAATTGTAATTTAGAAACATGCACTTTCTGTAAAGCTGCTTTGAAACAATATGTACGATTTATACAAATAAATGTAAATTTCAATTATAGGCTACTTATATAGGCTACTGTGTGTCGTCTGCATAGCTATGGTAAGCGATTTGGTTCTTTCTCATTATTTTGCTCATTGGGAGCATATACAGGTTGAATAGGAGTGGCGCAAGAATCGAGCCCTGAGGGACTCCGCAGTTCATGGATGTCCACTCAGACTTATGTTCTCCTATACTCACAAAATAACCTCTCCCTTCTAAGTATGACATGAACCATTTTAGGACTATTCCAGAAAGCCCCACCCAGTTTTCCAGCCTGTCAAGAAGTATGTCATGATCGACAGTGTCAAATGCAGCACTGAGGTCGAGTAGTACCAACACGGATAATTTGCCTGTATCAGTATTTAAGCGAATATCGTTTATTATCTTTATGAGCGCTGTCTCCGTGCTTTGATGCGATCGGTAGAAGGACATATATCACAAACTCCGACTCTTTCTTGACCCGCTAAATTATTAAAACGTATTCTCATTTATCTAGTGCAGAAGTACAGTCAAAAGCTGCATCTGTAACGGCATGAGAGGATAATGTGTGTCAGTAAATTTCCCGCTGACATATTGAAATACAGAGTCGGATACAAAAACAATTAGGAAGATCTTTTTTACCTCATTATACAGGTAAATAACCTGATTTAGCCTATTAATAAACACTCCACCTTTGCAAGCAAAATAGAAAAAGAATATCATAAATAAGATAAAGTAATAAAAAAGAAAGTTAATAATCAAAAAAGTAAGCCCCACCTCACAGGCTGATGATAGGATGATATGAAAATAGCACAATATAACACAATTACACTGTACATCAGCAGCTGATGGCCGGAAGTAGTTATACCTGTTTTTTACAACCTTGAACAATATTGTGCATAACCCCTATTGACCCAATTCTCACTCTCTCACGCCACACCCCCGATTTCTCATGTTGATGGGTCAACCTGGTCGGTTGAATACCTGAAAGATGAGTTTATCTATAGATCTACCTGTTGAGCCACTCGTGATCGACTAGTTTTACCGCAAATTAGTTAAAATATCCTGTAATCTAGTGTGCATGCGGAACTTTGTGGAACAGTATGCGCGTGTAAATGTTTTCAACGCATAAGTTACTCGTCTCATCCTGATGTCATGTGTCTTTCCGGGATCTTTACGGGTTGTGTGTGAACGCACTCACAGATCCCGGCAAATCACTGGCAGTGTGAATGAACTGAAATCAAACTATCCCGGGACAAATACCGGGTCACATTATCAGTGTATTTTCCGGAATCTCTGTGTGAAAGGGGCTCAAGTAATCTTGGAGAAATTCTGAGAAATATGCTTTTTATTGTACTTCTATTTCAACACTACCTAAATATTGATCCGTTCTCTGATATAGGATGAAAGTAAACAGAGTATTAAGAAACAATTCATTATTTACAAAATGTGAACAATCATATGAGTAGTTTAAGATTAACTTAGTTCAATTTTACTACATGCTTGAAATAATCCATAAGATCAAACAAAGTTATTTTTGACATTTTGTGAATTGTCACTTTTAAGTCATCAATAACAATAATAAAATCAAGAATTTAGTAGTTTAAAAAGCACCCAAAAACTCATGTTTGCCCTGTTGTGTAAAGTAGCTTGCCTTAATTTTACCTGAAGATTAGTTCATGAAAAAAATGGTTTATCATTTTAATGTATAAGTCTGTAAACATCATACCTGTTTTTCCATCTTCTTTTCTAGTGAGATGTCCATTAGGAAACCATCATTCTCTTCAATGGCTCCACAAAATTTATACAGTAACTCTTCTGTGGTGCGCGAGGAGAGGATCTGCAAGTAATGATGGCAGGCCAATTCTGACTGTGACGTCATCTTTGTTTCAACTGTTCCTGCAAAGGCGACCTGTTACACAGTATCTGGGTCTGTTTTTTTAACTGAACAAGGCATCGATTTCGTCCATTTTTCGATGGACTGGAAAGAATTGGAAATCTTTTTTTCTTCAACATCTTCCTGAACTGAAGTGAATTGTGTTTCATAACAAGAACAGAAGTTGAATGGAATTTAAGTACCCCATATTATAACTGTATTATTTTCATTAATTGTACAGCATCATTTTTGTGTATTGCTTCTCTGTCTAACAGTAAAGTGCTGACTTTTTTATTTATTTAATTTTTTTGTATTTTAAAAGTAAAACTCCATGGACGCTTCTCAATATCCCTCCTCGTCTCCTCGCTCCTCCCTCCTATGACCCGTAAACCGATCGAGCTCAGCCATCTTTAAGGACATCTCAATTCTCTAATTCCACCGTGAGGAGTCGAGGATCGAGGAGTGAGGAGACTTCCAGAGGAGGCATGAGTGAGGATACACAGGTGTATCCTATGCGGAGCTGTTTTATTGACTAAACGTGACGCTCGTGTCAATTCTCCTCCCCTTCACATCGATCACAATCATTTTAATTTATAATTTACCTTTGAAGTTTATATAAACCACACATCTCAGATATTTAAACAGTGTAGCCTTTCTTTATTAATATTCATTATGAATTTATTAAAAAACCAAACTTCAACAACATAAGGGCAGATCCGGCCAGTGATCAAGTATTCCAATGTAAAAAACACTCTTTATAACTTCCTTCAACTGTAAGTTTTGAGCATAGCAGGCTTGTGGGCACTTTCTGAAAAAAAAGGCATCCCATGTAATTTTATTCTAGAAGGACATTTATATAATATTGTTTTATGTACAGTCTTACAATTGGTTCCACTTGTGTTACAGTTATCAGGTGATGGATTCAACACTGTAAAATGATCAAGTAAATAAATAGTGATTAAGCACATTGTGATTCTGTGCATGAGGATAAACCTTTGTGAAGGTGATATGTTTTTAACATATACTTGTAAATTCTGTTTGAAAATAAAAGTGGTAAAGGAGCACTTGGTCTGTACCATGATGACAGATGAACAAAGTGACTTTTTTGTCAGACATGTCACTTCTTTCATCTGCTCGCATCTGATTGGTCCAATTTCAGTTTGCAATCTCTAACTCAGAACATAACCTGCCCTGGAGCAGGCATGGCAATGAACCCAGCTAACCAAGCCACTTTAATGGTCCAGGATTGGTGCAAACTAAACTTAAACTTACCTGGCTAGCCAGCTAAACCGGCTTCATGGTATAGACCCCCTGATTCAACTCCTGATTTAAATAACTGGCAATTTGCTAAAAACTGATCACAATGTTGGGGAACTCCAAGGAAAATGTTCAGGCAACATTAAAACATTGTGCATGACCATCCTTTATGTCTTACACTATTTAAAAAAAAAAAAAAAACAGTAAACACATTTTTGTCAATGTCAAATGTAATAACTTTTGAAATCTGCTAAATAAAAAAAGGTTTTGAAAGCGATCTTTGCAATAATCTGTTTACTTAATTATAGTTCTTGTTTTCAAAAAAAACAGGCTGCACAAATATTTAATTTAATAAAAAAGACTGCCAATCAATGAGCACTGATAATGGACATGTAATTAAGCATTTGATCACTGCTGAAAAGAACCTAAAAAAAAAACCCTACAGGGAACATTCCCAGAACGTTCTCCTTGGGTTATAAAATTAAACCTAAAAATAACCTACAGGGAACATTCCCAGAACGTTCCGTTTAGGTTATAAAAATAGAACCTAAAAATAACCTACAGGGAACTTTCTGGGAATGTTCTCCTTAGGTTATAAAATTAAACCTAAAAATAACCTACAGGGAACATTCTGGGAACGTTCCGTTTAGGTTATAAAAATAGAACCTAAAAATAACCTACAGGGAACATTCCCAGAACGTTCTCCATAGGTTATAAAATTACACCTAAAAATAACCTACAGGGAACGTTCTGGGAACGTTCCGTTTAGGTTATAAAAATAGAACCTAAAAATAACCCACAGGGAACATTCCCAGAACGTTCTCCATAGGTTATAAAATTACACCTAAAAATAACCTACAGGGAACGTTCTGGGAACGTTCCGTTTAGGTTATAAAAATAGAACCTAAAAATTACATACAGGGAACGTTCCTAAAACGTTCTTGTTTGGTTCCCCAAAAAATAACCAAATGGGAACCATACGGGAACGTTAGGGGAACGTTCTGTGTTTGCTGGGTAAATGCCATTTGAAATTTTCTCCTTTAATGATGATTTTTATCAAACTTGTATATTTAAGTTTAGTAATTTCACTTAAATAACAATTAATAGGCAATTATCATTGCCATTTAAGAGAAATTACTGAACTTAAATATACAAGTTTGATAAAAATCATCATTAAAGGAGAAAATTTCAAATGGAACTCTTCATATATATATATATATATATATGTAACTTTTTATATACACTGTGTACTTTATTCCTTTACATCTGTCCTTTAAAA